TCGTTCCGTTGTATTTTATGAAATACACTCACTCTCGTAATATCCTTCCGGGCATTGTTGCAGGCACACCGCGAGATCGGTAACCCTTAGGTGGGCAGGTGCGCAGGAGAGACAAGAATCTTGGCCGGCACCGGCACATATCTCACAGGATTCGTGGCAGGGCCAACAGACCCCACCCTGATTTGGGAAGCTCCTCGGTGGACATTGACTCACGCAAGTGCTGTAAGCGTTGCAATATCTCGAGACTAATATTCCTTCGAATTCCTTATCTTATCATTTCAATCCTTTCTTTGATCGCGTTATCGAAATTTTCAAAATCTTTTGATAAATTTTAACGATTGCATTGTGAGTAACAAGATGTAAAATTTCATGCTTATTGTTTCATCAGTTTTCATTTTTTTTTCTTATTTCTCATTGGAAGAGTTAATAATAGATATGATAAAAATATATATATATATTTTAAATATGTAAATCTGTAAATTGAATTTGAATTTCAATTATTTGTATTTGAATGAATTCTTTTGAAAACGAAAAATTATTGTTACTTACAGTGATACCGTTATAGAATACAGGATAACATTAACCGCGTTATATTTATAATTAAAAAAAAAATGATTTGTTAAATCACTATCGCTTTCTTTGTGAAACGAATTTTCTCAGATTTAATTATTTATTATCCTCGAGAAAAACTAAATTAGAATAAAAAATGAAGGAAATATAATATGATAAACATAAATCTTGAAAATACTTTATACGTTTTCTTTTTTTTTTTTGTCCCGAGTGAAATATCAAAAGCCGAGTAAAATTTTAATACTTTGTTACTTCTAGATCTTTGTAACAAATTAACAAAAATTCAGCATTTTTACCACTATCTTTTTCACTAGAAGCTATAAAAGATGTTTTTACTTCTAATTGGAACTGCGCCTTCCTTTGTCCAAAGTTTTTTCACTGGGACAAATTTAAAAAGAATTACATATAAAGCCTGGAGAGACAAATATCAAGCGTTACAATTGTGGTTTAAACATAGAAAAAAAAAAAAAAAATTCTTCTTCTTATACAACAATGTAATGTCATATCTTTCATAGAATGTGCTACAAAATGAAATACCTTCTATATAATATAAAAAACACCTTTAAAAATAATTAAAAAATAGAATCTACCTTACATAAAAACCCACAAAGAAATAATATACAATAACATGCAATAATAAATAATGCCTCAAACGAGAAAGACCACTTTTTAGAAACAAATTAAAAATTCTCAAGAGTTGTCTTCAAATCATTCTCCCACCTATATTCATTAATGAAACAACACGACATAAAAACCCTTACTTGTCCAATCGATAATTCTTGCAGGCGATGCACTGGGTGGGCCCTTTCCCGTAGCAACCCTGAGGATCGCATTGGGGGTCGCAGTCGTGAAGTATCTTTCTAGTAGTGTCGAGCGAGTCGTCGCCGACCTGGGACGAGGAGGAGGGCGAGTCGAAGGAGGAGGACGTGTCCCCTGGTAGCCGATTGGTGAGGATCGGTGCCGAGGAGCCGTCTAAAGTGGCAACGGACGCCTGGACGTTGGACGCTGCCCCTACGTACGGGTATCCTTGGTAACCCTGAAAGGTAGACGAAGGAAAGAAGTCGACGTCGCCGCGATGACCCAACGCTAGCTGATCATCGTCTACAGGGTATGGATAATGCACGGAGGCGTACGAAGAATGTACCGGGTTAAATTGACGGGTTCTAATCCTGATCGGGTTGGTAGCTGTTCCGTAGAAGATCAACTGCCACTTCTTTAGGATCCCTGTAACAGCCAACGATAATGGTTTTTTTTTTTTTTTCTTTTGATCTAGGAACAAGTGTCTTCGAACGAGGAGCCTCCCTCCCCCTGTGTGGAAAATTTTTATGAAAGAAGGTTGGACAAGAGAGGACAATGGAAACGATGGTAATTGAATTTTGATGTTGAGTTGAAAAGAGGGAGGAGAAGAGATTGGGGAAAATATATGGAGTGAGGAAAAGAATGAAATGAAACGGATGAAAATTGGGATCCAGAGTTTGTGGTATATTTCAATTCACACAAAATCTAGTACAAATAATATTTCATATATATTTAACTTCTAATTGGTTGGGATTGGGCATCGACAATACTTGATTCCTGAAAAAATAAAGAATAAATTAAATTGAAAGGATTCTTTCCAATGAGAACCTAATCGTTACAGTTGAAGCGTGTCATTTCCTGTTGAAAGAACTTGAAATTGAAAAATCCACATTAATCTTGGAAGTGGAGATACTTGCCTGGGGAATTCACATGACGATTTCCAGCGTTATTGACCTGCAAGGTCCACCGGCCATCCGCCTTTTCGCCCCAAAAGTGAACGCTGAGGAAGGGCCAGTCATCGAAACTCGAGCTGAGAACGTCCCGTGGCCTCTCGAACAACAAGGTCGATGTGGTGCCCATTGGAGAGGTGAGCAATAGCCTTAAATTTCCACGTGGGAAGAACCTTAAGGATACCTTGATTGGACAATGATTATTTTATTTCATTGAAAAAAAATTGTAAATCTCTTAATTATTCTAATATTATTAATTTTTGTTTCAGATTCTTAAAAAAAAAAAAAAAAAAAAAAGAAAAAAAACTGAATGCATTCAATATTTCAAGTATAAACGATATGAATATTTCAAAAGATAAACTGTTAAAATTTGTGCAGAATTCTGCTTTACATACGTGTATGTATAAAAATTGTTCTTTTATGTGACGTGATGCATGTCAGACGTTGGTATGTATATATATATATATATATATACACGAATAAGCGAATAAACAATTTAAACGAAAAACGAAAAGGAAGTACAAAACGATCGTTGTATATGCAAAATCTGACGGAAGAAAGAATACGGACGGGGAAGGGGGAATAACGCTTAAAATAAAATTTATTTTCACTTTATACAGTATATGCAAATGTATATTTTGTTCTAGCTTATGATTCATAAAACGGTTTTTAAAAAAGAATTTACATTTTAATGATACCGTGAATTTCATTCCGAACCGAACTTGCAAATGTACGTTTGTAATACGCGAATTTAAAGGATTGTACCATTAAAAATATATTTAACCGCGCTGAAAGGTAATACTACACAGGGAATAATGTATGGGAGGGGGAAAGGAACTTCCATTTTCGATCGAATCGCGTGCTTATAAATATTGCTTTCAAAATTATTTTCCCTCCCCGTGTGCGCGAAATTGTTGCTGTTAAAATTGGTGTGCACCAATGAGGAAAAGTTATAGATTTTAAAAAATACACGAAATCGAAACGGTTTTTCATTTGAACGAATTACATAACGTGTACATACCACCGATAATGGAAAATGTGAAATATGAGAGAAAAAAAATTTTATTTTTCCCTTAAATCGTTTACATTTATCATTAAAAGTAGCGAGATATATATGGCGTGAAAAAGGCAAAGAAAATTTGAAAAAAGTTGGAAAGAATCGATGCTTAAAAACACATGTATAAAATTATCAAACTTTTCTTTCAACCGATTATCGTATCAACGATCATTTTCAACAAATAAAATACAATAATTGTTTAATTTTATGAGACATCATTCTGTACTTCTTTCAGAGTTATTACAAATCAAATCCAAGGCAACTTTGCTTCTCTCTTGACTTCTCCATTCTTTGGAGAAGAAATCTATCATTATCGTGGAGCATAGAAGGATTGATAGCAAAAGAATCAGCTATCACAGATAATGGAACTAACAAGCAAACCTTAAGAGTTAAACCCATCTATATCTCAACACATATACTGTTCACCCACGAGAAAATGTCAAGCAGAAGAGTACAGGTATCTCTATTCTTTACAAAAATCCTGCTACAATCTTATTAGTATGCTCTCAATCCTCCCCCTCGACCACCTTCTCATAGTCAATACAACTTGCAGTGATTCACGTTGGACCTCTTACCTTGCACTGCACATGCTCGAGGAACCGGACCTCGTTCACGGATCCAGCGCAACCGGTGACGTCCATGTACACGCTCAACGTGTAACCGTAGGTCGGGTCGATGCGCCTCTCCTCGTTGATCTCATCGGACTTGCAGATATGTTGGGGAGGCACGTTGGTCCACTGCTCGGCCAGGTTCACCATAGCGCCGGCGTCCATGAGCCCGTAACCGAATTTGTGGGAGACCTTCCGCTTAACCCCGTTCAAGATCCAGCCCGACTCCTTCTCGAGGGGGGTCGACCTCGAGGTGAGCACCACCAGGTACTGCATGTCCCTCCACGTGAGGCTCGG